TAGTCAGAACACCAGTTTGAACAACCAATGGCATAACGATGAGGAATCTTTTTCAAATATATCTTAATAGGTCTGACATAAGTCGGCACGGCTATTACATAGTTCGGAAACAACTGGAGAAATGGTATGGAAGTTATAAATGTGCATTTGAGTGCTAATATTTCCAAGTAGTGAGGATACACGTTTCATTATAATTTTTGATTTGGTAGACGAGTGGATGAATGGATNAATGAGAACTGAGAGTTTTGTTCTATTCCAAACACTGTTCGGCCATCAACCTGAGGTCGTTCAGTCACCTGAATGTGTAGGCGGAAACCGGTCGCTTATGCATCTTCCTCATACATCAATAAATACGGCCGATGGACTGATCAGTAATCCGCCGTTTGAAGCTATGCTTTCTGCTTTTATGTGCATAACGGAACTTTTTAGTCACATAGGCTGCCGTTTCAGAATTGAAAGAGGCTTAGATAAAAGAATATCTGTCCACGTGTGTAGATTTTTTAGAATATAAATTTNAAAGTGACGAAGAGGAATTCCAATTATACACAGAATTCTCCGGTCGCCAGATAATGTGCATGTATATACAGACACACACCAACGCGTGCAGAAATCAACTTGATTTTCCAAGACCGACAAAATTATTCCATTACTAACTATTTTATGGGATCACAAAACTTTTGGAATATCAAGCAATCTGTCCAGTAGTTCCCCACTTATCAGGTGTTTAATAATAAAATAGTAATAATAATGCATTGATCCTCGCTTTTTGTGTGTATGGATGTGTTTGAAAATCAATTTAAATCGATAATTTTCCACAAACGCTTGTTGGATCAACTGAAATCATATCAGAAACGGGTGTAGAACAAATTTGGTTCGGACCATTTGGTGTGATAACGCGGATGACACATGTGAATAATGTAAACACGAGGATCTGATTGATGACTGATAAGGGCCTGTTTTCCTCCCCACAATTTATCTAAATCTACTAGCATGTAATCCAATCTGCGATACCGAAATTTCATTGCGCGCCCATCGATTTCAATGCATGTGTTTGCTACCCTCAAAATCTGTGTCCTGAGCCCACAGGATGGTAATAGATGTCCATTGGACGCTACAATAACAAACCAATGTGGTTACCGATCCATGACTACCTAAACGTTTTTGTTCCAAATGGGTTTCAATTTTTAGGGAGGATAAGGGCCAAAAATAGCTCATATCTCTGGGAATGACTGAAGGTTTGTCGCATGAAACTGTCAGATAATTACTGTTGTAAGAACACTGTTTTGATGAAGTTTTCCATATTCACACACGATGTGACTCTTGACAATAGACTTGAATCTCCCACAATCCCAACCTCTGGATATTTCACAAACTTGAGGGGAAGGATAGGTTTGCTCAGATATTTTGATCCGTGTCTGGCTACAACTTTGAAAATCAAAATCCATCCCAAGGTATCCTAGAGGAGACGCTACTCAAGGTTTTCAATTTCCCAAACAGCAGCTTACAAAAGTGGAACATTTAGAATTCTCTCTCATAGGGCACTAAATAAGTGCACGGAGACTCAACTATAAGAATAGGAAAAGTCACCAGGGAAAATATTGCTGCTAAATGGATACGAGGAAAATTCAATGAATGATGTTGTACTTCTTAGAAAACCGATCACTTACTAAGGCAAATAAAACACAACTTGAAACAAAACACTAAGATTCGCTTGCTTCAAACTAAACAAGAATGGTTATGCTGTCAATGAACAGTTTCACTGGATCTGATTTCTCAACTAGCATTTAACTACCAGCCGACTTGCAGTTGCTCTGACACATACAATGGCAGAGCACACTGTTGCTCCGTTCAGTGCTTGTCAGAGCTCTTTCACAACTGAATTGCACGTGCAATTATGTAACAAATAACTTCACCACATTGTCGATACCGAAACACATTTTGGCGACCGATCACACAGCTGACCTTATCCAGCAGTTCAGAGAAATGTTACAATATAAAATTCTGAGACTGTTAGCTTTTGATGAGCTGTTACGGAACACATGCAACTGTCAAGACGGTAATGTCAAGAAACTGAGTCCCCACGCCCAACGGAATGCCCTCACAGTTGAATATTTATTGGTAATTGAAACTACTGTTGCTCTTCTGTTGCTTTGCTGATCACATAGACTCGATTTGTTTCACAGCAATCTATGGCCCCAAATGAAACGAACGGATCTCGACTCGGAAGTTTACAGTACGGTTGGGGCAGGTGTCTTAGGTTGTGATTGATCTCCTTGATCAACCAACTCACAATATAGCACGGCTAAGGAATCCCTACTTCAAACAAAACAACAGAGTGGCGAACAAGCTCGTTTTCAGATATTCGTATTCATGCCAATACATCTCAATATATATCACTACTTGGGAATAAAATTGTCATGGGAAAATAAAATAAAATAAAACGCACAGATTACTAATACCAATTTCATCGTGAGACCGGAAATCGGGTTCACCACGATCACATGTTTGTTTGCCCACTCATCCGACCATCGATGCGGTTTGTATGGGGGGTGGGCCAGGGAAGCTTTAGCGCTGGCACAAATTGTTTTTGGGCACACAGAGGGGTGTTGTGCAGACGAATGCCCACCGCTTCTGCCGTAGACAACATCCGACAGCGAGCCAGCTTCGATAATCGCCCACGAAATTTGTACAGTGGATGAAAGCCAAATTACGGGGCTATAACCGTACTGATTTCAAACCAATGAACCATACGCAAACCTTCCTGGTTGTAGCAGTGGCCACCTGCAAGGTCTATTGGCCATCTTTGAGGTTTGAACTAGTTTAAAGGGTGTATGATCCGACAGACCGCAAACCGGCCTCAACTGGATCGCGGATTTTGCACACCGCCTCACTGTTTTGGGGTTCAGGCTTTTACTAGCTAAGGTCTCTGGTTATGTACCCCATGAGAGAATTCAACTACTTTGGCCTATTTGGTATTCCACCTACGTGCAAATCATGGACCCATTTCTTTTTTTTCAAAAATATTATACCGCGATTTTTTGGCGCGTAGACTGGACTTCAGTGCGTGTAAAATATGATATTAATAATACGCATCTCTTAATGCATCTCTTCCTGCCGTTTCTCTTAGTCGAAGAAAGGAAAATTAATTTTAAATGAGCCAGTGGGATAATTGGTATGCGATGTGACTCTTCGTGGAAGTTCGTATAATTTTCGACCGAATTCAACATGCAAACACCTCATACGGCCAAGAGAAGAACAATACAAATGGACAAGGTGATAAAAAGCAGACTCCTCCATTCGGTCCTATCCAAATTTTCATTTCTAACGCTTTCGAACCAATGGACGTGTCACTGTGCCATCATTCGGTCACATTTGTCAATCAGAATAAGCCGTGGTGAAAGCAAACCTGGACGTGGATCAGCTATCTAACTGTTTTGTATGTGATACAGGGCAAAATCATGAGCTTTCCTCAAAGAATTGGTGGTTTTGATCTAACTGAAATTAGGATGAGTGTGTTCACTCAGATTTCAACCGACTACCGAGGGCTTTGTACTGGAAAAAATAAAAAAATGTACTATAAAAAGTTTAAATGGTGAATGTTTGGATTAGCCCGTTCGGTTTTTCACAGGCACCAGGCACTGTTGATGAAGTTGATAACCATCGACCGCGTAGCCCAAGGGTAAGGGTTTAAAGTCCCAGCCCGAAGAATCGCGGTTCGAGTCCAGATAGGGACATAAATAGTACGCACTGCTGACGAGTCCCAAACAGGATGAAACAGCTGTCCAGTGCTCTTCGTTGGTTATCACAAAGATTTCCATCGCACTAAAATACCATAAGGAGTACTTGAAATAGTATCTATCACTTGGACGCCGGCCGTGAATGTGGCGGCAAATACACCATTTTCGGGGGTTATTCAATCTTTATTGACGACTTCTTACGATAGCGATAATTTTTTACTGAGTAGCATAAAAACATCTCAATAACCAGACTGTACACTTATCCGGTTCTAACTTTGTGTGCTGAAATCTCCGATAGGGGGAGTGGTAAAGTCAACTAGTGCAGTGTATCATTACTTTGATCACAGTTACAATTTAACACTGAATGACAATTACATGATTGGAATTTTTACGTAGTCGGATAGATTGGTAAGCCAAAGACCATTTTTAAATCTTCCCGTGCGCACTCTTTCCTGTATCCAAAAGACCCAGAACAATTATTGGTTTTAGTCAAAATCGAGGACTTAGCGCTGCTTGTTTCACATTCGCACGGTGCGCATTCTCAGCTGCTCAGTCCAGACTCATTGACAGAGTCGATCTGAACCAAAGTAAAGATGACTGAGCAGTTGGCTCCCCTACTGGCATACATACTGAACGAACCTTTAGCAAACACAGCAAATGACTTTACATATTTAATTTATACATTTAATTTAATGGTTTTGTTAATTAGGATGCTACTGTAAAGTACTAGGTAGTAGGGATTTCAAATGTTTGCTTCAACCTATTGCTTGATCACTGAACAACTCCAGTAAGAGAGAGAAATACTTAGACCGTTTTGAAATCCGTTGTTGCTAGTAGGCTCCGGAAGATGGTAGCGTTCCAACTCCTAGTCCAGTTTGACTATTTGATTGGCACGTTTTAACCACTCCCACGTAAGAATTGCGTTGTTTATTTGTCCAGTCTGAAGTTTCTCTGTATACGCAAAAGCCCACACTATTACGATCCAATCAGGAATGGGGAGAAACTGTTGGTGTGTACACGTTTGTATCGCTTACGCCATTCCCGTTGCGGTGCACCTACACGTGCTAGTGCTAGTGCGATTAGGTGCACCCAGGGGTCACGCATACACACACGTGTCTGTGTGTGCGTGTGTGTGTGTGTGTGTGCGATACAGAATCTCATCGCGACGAAGCTAATCAGCTGTTTGGTAACCTTGAGAGTGCCACCGGATTCAGGTTCGTGCAATTTTTGGACTGAGAACGTCATTTCATCTGCTAAGTTCCCATGAGACGCAAGATTGATATCTCTCGCCCTGATCCCGGTACCCCATGGGGATTCCGGATCCAAGGTGGTCGAGATTTTGGGCAACAACTGCGAATCGCTTCTGTAACACCCGGGGGTTTGGCTGAGCGGAATGGTATCCAAGCTGGTGATCAGGTGGTCACTATTGGAGGTGATCCGGCCTCATCTATGACTCATCAACAAGCTCAACAAGCTGTGATTCGATGCTGCAATCAATTGGAGATGGAAGTGGTAGCCTCATCTCATGTGCCCGAACCGGAACCGGAAATCAAACCTTATTCGAGTTGGGTAAGCACAATTGGAAATAGTTACTCGAAAGCGACACCAAAAACACAATCCACCGTGAACATTAATCTGCACAAACCCAATCCAATTGGTGGTGCATCCCACGGAACATTGAATGATTGGAATGATTTGGATAACTATGCTCCTCAACCGTACGGAAGACCCACATCCAAACAAACCGGCCCGTCAGAATCAGTCTACGCGCCGGTTCTGTACGAGACTATTTCATACAATAAGCCGACTGTGACCGAGAAGACCAGTACCAATCCAGTACGTCCAGCTCTGTACAGACCGCAAGCAAACAAGAGTCCAACAACAACAACAACAACCAGTTACCCCAGATCATCCATCCCAACTACAGGAATGAAATCGGCCACAATTCAACCGCAAAACACTCAACGTCACCCCATCTGTCATTATTGTAAAAGTCCCATTCAGGGACCGTTTGTCGACGCGGTGGACTACTGTTTCTGTCCGGAACACTTTTTCTGTTTCACCTGTCGTGTACCGCTGAATGACCGATATTTTGCCGAAGAGGATGGAAAATTTTATTGTCATGATGATTTTGTGAAACACGTGGCATCCAGATGCGCAAAATGTGGCAGTCCAGTGATTGGAAAGATAATCAAGGCGTTGGATAAATCGTGGCATCCGTATTGTTTTGTTTGTTGTTATTGTAAACGTCCACTGGAGGATAAGTTCCACGTGGAAGATGCGAATCAGGTGTTGTGTGAAGAGCACTGGCAACAGTTGCATTTGACCGAATGTGCCAAATGTAAACAACCAATCTCGGAAATTGATCGCTTTATCGAGGCGATTGGGAAACAATTCCACGCTGGTTGTTTCCGTTGTGCGGCCTGTCAATGTCTGCTCGAGGGTAAACCGTTCCATTCAAGAGACAACAAACCTTTCTGTCGAGCTCATGCCAACGCGGCAGCCATCTTTGGATAAACCGGCACGTATGAATCAGTATGCGTAATTGCATCCGTCAGTTATGTTTTTCCTGGTTTGTGCATTTGTGTCTGTGTGTGTGTGTTTGTGCATGTGAGTATGCGGGATTGCGCAGCTTAGATTCTCCAATCTTTTATTCTTCATGTGATCAGTTCAATGAAAAACTTACGCTTAAACATATGGTAATTCTAAAGGTGTTGGTGTTTTCATCGTTATCATCTTCGTCCCAGTCACTGTAGTCTATGTGATTTCGTTTCGCCGGTCTCCCCCATTACCCCAACCACATTAGACAGAAACGTTTTCGCACTTCTCCATCCGGGTAGAATCGACATACAAAATAGGAGTTTCCTAGATCTGGCCACATCTGATTTGTTCAATTAAAGTCCGTGTTTTGTTGCTTCTATACCGTTCAGTGCTGCATCAGAAGAAGCGAGGAGAATTGTTTCTGGAAATAAATCGCCGACCCTCGGAATGGTGAAGCACGGTGGCTGAGAACTGGCAAGCCTGTTTACCAAATATCCTTTCGTCGCCTGCTCACTACACACATACCCGCTCAGTTCGATTCAGTATGCAGTCCCTCTGTTTACAAAAGACAAATCCGTGTTAATTTCGAATACATAGTGACAAGTAACTAAGTTTTATCCTTATGCGTGGGGTTTATCAATCAGACTGGTGGATAATAAAAACAGGTGGGTGAAATTTGTCCTTGTGAGATACCCAACAAACGCCATTTGTAGATATCATTTTTCAGTGGTGGTAATTGTATCATGGATCATTTGGTATATGACAAATTTACGCTTCATTTTCAAAATGAGGACGCCCCCCTGGAACTGCAGGAAACAGATAGTCGAGGATAATAAAATCAATTCCTAGAGCAGTGGTAACGAATTTTGAGGGTCCAGAGTATCGAAAAATGAGTGCATGCAGCAAAACTACCTCCATGAGATAATTGAGTAGGGTTAGTAGTGCGAATCAACTTATGTACAAAAAACGATGATAATCGTTTTATTAATTTGATTCCATCGGTTCATCTCGCATTCATGCGAAAAGATCAAACTGCACAACCATTTGTAATGGTTTATATTAAAAAATGCGATTATATATTGTTGTTTTATTTGATATAATCAAGCTATTACAAACTTCTCGGCTGATAAATGGAATAATATTTGCTCTGAATGATAAAATCAAATCATTTCAGTATCTTAGTGATCTTCCTGATCGATATGAGTTACTGACTCAGACAGGGTACGTTTTATTGTTTACTATGTCGTACTGTTGAAGTTGGTGATCCTTGATCTCCCTCTCTACCCCAGTCCAACCACGAGAAATGTGATTAATTTCATGCCGTATGAAACCTAGTACACAGTTTATCTCCGTACATCAATCAGAATACTGGGTTGCATTTATCTAAAAATTATCAAACGGTAAATAGCTGAGGAAACATACCAGATTAAATAATTACGCATTTTGTTTGCACAAACTAAACATAATAAATTGAGTATGAAATGAGAAACAAGGACAAAAATATTTGTGAGGTAGCTACATGCATAATCGATTGGCATTTGTATCACGTGAGTTGTTTCTGAAGTCGGACTGGAGTGAAGCGATTTTCTGCTATGCGTAGAATCATGATGAATGGCCGCGCTATTTTCAAACGAGGCAACCACGTATCATGCATGCAAATGCTTTGTGGGTAAATCAAGCAAAAATACTGCACCACTTTCACTATGTGATACAAGCACAAAGGCTAATCGATAAAAGTTTTCATATTCCTATTGTAAAACGTGCTGGCGAGCGAACAGTTGTTTTTGGTGGTTCCCAATAATGCTCGTACAATTCAAATATCGGACTAACAGTATACATAACATTAGCCATTTCGCCTGTTCTCCGAGCTTGGCAATTTGTTTGCAAACGTTTCATAGACCAGCCGAGATGCAAATTATACACTGGTTTATAAATAATTTTTTGATCTTACTTTGTATTATTATTATTATTATATTTCACACTCTTCTGAGGCCAGATTGTGTGCCAAGCAAATCATGGTACAAATCTTTATAAAAAGGAAAACGTTCCACACTTTGCATCTGGGTCTAATACTGCCAGTTTGCCCAGGCCAGAGCGGATATTATTTAGTTTTTTTAATCAAAATCCGGTTAAGGGTCTGTGAACGTGGTGAGTAAGGTCGACTATGGTTAGGTTTGAATACTGGAACTGTCACAAGATGGAATGATAGCCGATACCACAGGGTTCGCTTTTCAAAGTCGCCATTGTTTCGTTAACTTTTACAGTGGATTTTCGGGATTCCTAGCTTGTAGTTATTAAAATTGGTCGTTGTTAGGCCAGGAAAGCTCAAAGTGTCGTTTCATTGCGTCGATAATCCTCTTGTTCAATTGTTCTCTTCTAACATGTACACAAGCCCGGATACAGTACTGCTACCCGGCGGTGGTCGTTTGGCTACAGGGAGATATCTTTCTGATAGGATAAATGTAACGCTTAATCGTTGGAATGTAGCTTTGTGCTAGCCAAAATAATTGTTATGAAGTCCGAAAAAACACTAAAGGTAAAAACCGATGAGTGAAGGGTGCAAAACTATGAAAAATGATGAATCACGGCGGGAAACATTGAACTTTACTCCGGGTAAGGTTGCCCAAAAGGAGAAAAATAAAAGAGTATGAAAGAGCACACTCACTAAACAGCTCCTCATCTAAAAGGAGACGTTCCGTGGGGCTACCCTGCAAGCACTGAAGATTTCGCCTGAGATGGGTATCAGACGTTCAGCGGACAGGTGAAAATCTCCGTTTATAAGCCATGAAGAATCAAGCTAGTTAGAACGGTAGACTTGTGTATAATATTGCATGATGTATATTGCACATACTTCCCCATTCTCCATGTGATCTGTACGGGTTCCGAACAATAAAAATGTTCTAGATTCATTGCAAATGAAATAAACAGCTTCATTGCAGATGTGGGATCAACGAATGGTCTCTAAACGATGATTCTTCGACTAAAATCAATACATGCAATATCACCCGCGTATGGTGAGAGCATCGTGTGAACAACGACGAGGTCAGACGACGTGTGTGTTCCGTTGAGCAAAACCATTTCACTGTGCCGTCCTAGGTGGCTAGGTCACGTCCTACGACTGCCTGAGGAACGTCTGCCACACCGTTCACTATTCGCAGACATTGGTCCGGGCTGGAAGAAACAGTGATTTGGGTAGGCTATGACGTGGTGTAGAGGGTTAAAGATATTGTGCTCGGGTCTGGCTTCCGTTGCCCCCCCCCCCGGCTTCCCGGTTGGGTAGAGGCCTCAATACGGATCCCTGCGGAACCTCTCAGACGGCGGCGATATGTCCAGATAAGAAATCCCAAACATGAAATAACATCCTTCCTTGACGGAGAAACTCCTCGATCCAGTCGAGAACGGAAATTCTTACTGGTTAATTTAACAGTTTTTTTAATAGGCTTTGGTGGTTTACTTGATCGAATGCTTTGGATAAGTTCCGATAAACTACATTCAATAGCTAATCTCTGTCGACCGATTTTAGCTGCACATTTCGTGAAAGAAGTATATTTGTGATACACAAACGTTTGCCTCGAAATCCGTGATGAGTCGGAGACCGA